TGGGTCACCTGTCCTCTTGATCAAGGAGGCCGAGGAGACCCCACCAGATGGACTTGAACCAGTGTCCAGTCTATGAAGAGGAGGGTCAACAGAGAGGAGTCATTTCCTCCATGCTTCCAAGCAAAGCCAACCATGGTTGAGCAGGACCTTTGACTTATCTTCACACAGGCAGAACGCTCCTCCCAAGCCCATGTGACCCCTGAAGAACAGATCCTCAAACGACCTTGGGAGTAAAAATAAATTGATTTATCTGTATTGGTATATCTGGGCCAACTGTATGGCCTTAAATACCCAAAAGGAAAGTATAACCAAAGATGAAAGAGGCCAATATAATCTTTTAGGAGTCCATATGTAGCTAAAGGCTACATAACAAGAAACAATCTCAGATAGGCAATATCTTCTTTTGAGTTATTGGCCAGGGTGGCCCAAGAGATTCCCAGATATTAACCCAGCATAAAACTGGGAAAATGAACAGCAGACTGCAATCTTATCTAAAGGAATGTTGACAACGGATTGCTGCTAGATGAGGAACAGCTGACCTTCCTAAAACAAAGACCTCTAGATAGGCTGACTAGATTCACCAAAAGGGCAAGTAGAGGGGAATGGCTGGGGGTGTGGACAACACAGCAGACAGTAGTAGGGATATCAGAGTATAAGGGCTCTAGTGGGGGGAGGGAGGCTATGGGAGGGTGCTATCTGGGAAGTGGGTATAAGAGACAGAAGTGGGTGTAAGAGATAGCTAAGAGATAGAAGCAACGTAAGTGCTCCTCAACTGACAAGTGGTTAACAACAATGTGGCACATTTACACAATGGAGTTCTATTCAGCAGTAAAGAAAGATGACATCACGAAATTTGAAGGTAAATGGATGGTTCTAGAAACTGTTATGCTAAGTGAAGTAACACAGACTCAGAAAAATAACAGACTTAAAATAAAAGAAAGAGAAAGGGAAAAAAGGGAAAAAGGAAAAAAACAGAAAGGCGATCCTATATTGCCAATAGAAGTCAGCTTTCTAGCAGCTCCAAGGCTGAAGAAAGGAAAGTATAAAACAAATGTATCTCTTTAGCTCCCCCATTACTACCCCTCTCACAGTGTTTCCTAACATTTCTTCATGTGCCATCACTGTCTTACCTCTCGGTGCCTATCTCGGTCTCGAGACTTCTCTCTCACCCAATCAATTGTGTTGAAATCATCATAGGTCCCTACACCAGGAATTGGTTCCTCCAAGAAGTCCATGATCCTATTTGAAGAGCTTATTCCACCACCATTGTATGACTTGTTCCCTGTATTGAATAGCAAATAGGCATTAGTATATCAAACATGCTTAACATTTTTAGTGCCTCCTTAAACTATCAGATGACTACAATTTAGGTGCAGTGATGTAATCACCTAGTAGGAACATCCATCACATTCAGAGGTTCAAATGAGAAGTAGCTAAAGGCAATGGGAATGGAAAGGGACCCAAGAGAATGACAGTACAAAGAGAAATGACGGAAGCTGATGTATAATAGGGAAGGATCTATGGAACAAAAGCCAGGAAGGAGCTTGGAGCAGCTTAGGTATTTCAGTTCATGGCTCCAAGGTCTTTTCAGACATATCACTTCAAGAACCATTTTACACTTTGTAAGGCAGTAATTCAATCCCATGAGGTGGCTTTTGCCTGACTGAAGAAACAATACTGGTCTCGTCATGAGTTAAGCTAGTTGGAATGTACAAATTTTCTTAAAGTGGGTAGAAGACTTTGATCCCTGATATAATGGGCTGGTAGAACGTTTTTTACTGTATGTCAGAAAGTCAAATATTTACAAGTAGAGGTTTAGATAACAGTGCTTGGTTTGTAATGAACAGTCCCTCCTTGATCTTTCAACTAAGAAACATCATTCTGTCCACTCATCATAGTCCTTCATTCACTTTGCACGTAGTGGTGTACACCTTTATTCCCAGCACTCAGGCAGGCAGATCTCTGTGAAATCAAGGCCAGCCTGGTCTACTAGTGAGTTCTAAGTCAGCTGGAGCTACAGAGAGGTCCTGCCTCAAAACACAAAATATCACAATCACTTTTGAGTACATATACTTTATCTTCCTTTTCTAGACTAGCAGCTTTTTGATAGTACCCCTACATTGAATTCATCATAGCCTTCTTAACAATGTCCATTATTTATTTTTAAAATATTTTATTTATTATTTTATGTGCAGGAGTGTACTGCCTGAATGTATATAAGTGCACCCATGTGTACACCTACAGAGATCAGAAAAGGGCATTGGATTCCCCTGGAACTGGAGTACGGACAGTTGTCAGTCACCATGTGGATGCTGGAAATGGAACCCGGGTCCTCTGCAAGAGAAGTCAGTGCTTTTAACTGCTGAGCCATCTCTCCAGCCCCTATTTATTTATCTATCTATTTAGGTTTTGATACAAGGTCTCACTAAGTTGCCCAGGCAGGCGTAGAACTTATGATCCTCCTATTTTAGCCCCCTAAGTAACTGCAATTAACGGCATGTCTTGTTCTCAACCATCTCTTAACACATACCTGAGAGTCAATAAATATCAGATGAACCAAAATGCATTTGACAAATAGCAAGGATGAAGGTGAAGTACTTAAACTAAGCAGTTGTACTAGCAATGGTAAGTACTGCTTATAAATTTGTTCAAAATATTTTGGTAACATTATTTGATGGAACAAAGTTTTGCTAGTAAACATACACACACACAAAAAAAATAAAACAGCATTGAGGAATCATAAAAATGCATGCTAAGTAATGCCATCATTTAACTCATCTAGCCATAGCTCACATTTGTAGCATCAATCTTGACAGGGACAAGGCTTAATCAAGATTGTTTGATAATGAATCCCTCTGCAGTGAAGGCCCAAGTGGGCCTCAGCTGACTCCCTCACTGCCCCTGCCCACCTCCACTATAAACTCCAGCTAGACAACTTTAGCACTCTCATGGAGTAAATTTGATTGAACACGCCAAGTTGCACCTTATTAACCAATTGTAAGTTTTGAATGCCTAATTCAGCACACTTTTCACAAGCAATGTACATGTTTCAAAGGAAAAGCTAGAGGGTGGGGGTGGGGATGGGTCAGGGAAGTGGCACAGAGGAGCTGAACAAGTTAATCTTAAAACCCCAAACCAAAGTCCTTTCCATATCTCCACTTGTACCTGGCTGTAAAATGGATGTCTGCTGAATCACTACCCCAGCATTTCCTATCATGTCAGGGCTATACTGATAAAGATGAAAGCTGGTTTGTGAGCTTGGAGGGGCAAAGCCAGGTAGGAAATAAGGGCAGTAAGAGAAGAAAGTATTTGGGGAGGAGGGAGCAGAACCAAGCTGTTTCCGTTCTCAAGTTAAATGCTGACGTGATCATAGGATACCAACCAACCAGAAACTGACTCTTTAAGGAAGGTTAATACTTCCATTGAATTTGCTCGAGCTTAAGAGCTCTCCTTTCAGGAAGAAAAAAAAAGACAGGATTTTGTGAAACGGATTTTAAGAAGCATCAGATAGCTATCTAATGTTACACTATATAAATGAGGGCCCCAGCTCTAAGGCAAAATGAAAATCTGCAACAGCGTCCTGGCAGGAAAGAAAGAATCCTATTACATCACTTAGGTAACATGAGCACCACTGCATCATCCTCCTTTGTAGTCTGCCTCCTGTTAGAGACGCAATTGTCAGGCCCCTGGAAAAAGGCAGACAGTGACTAGAATCCTACTACAGACTGCTTGCAATTCTCCAGATCCCCTACTCCCCGGGAACATGCTTCAGTCCTGAGTCCGCCTCAAGTCTGCTTACCTTCAATCACAATTTTCTTTCTTTCTGCCTCTGCCTCAAGAAAGAAATAACTGAGGCAGCCCGCATTTGCTCATTTAGGTTGAGGCGCTTTTCCAGGAGACCAGCTCTGGGGTGCTTTAGAAAGGCACTTGCTGCTTTCTCTGCTTTTCACAGCAACAAACGCCACCTAAAGAGCCACCAGTACTCTGGCGGTCGGAGTGTGATGTCATTGTTGAGATCATGTGACTAGACCCTTGGACCAGCCTTGGAGAAAGGAAGATTTTTAATCTAGCACGGACGCCTTAAAGATGTAGTCTCATCTAAACAAATTCCTTCAAACTGGTGACAGGTAAGCTCAGAAAACTGGAGGCCAGGCAAATTTCACAATTCATAGCTCATTTAGCTGAAATTCTCCTAAGTCAAAGTAGAAATGTCCTCAAACTTTAGAATTACAAGGATCCTAAGCAAAAAGAGGAAAAAGGAAAATACAGCAAAGTTTGGGGTTTTTAAATGTACCATTAAGTCGATCTTGGTGGCACATGTCTGTAATTCAGCACTTAAGAGGCTGGCAAGTTCAACACCAGCCGGGGTGACAAAACAGAACCTGTCTCAAAAATCTAGAGAAAGTAAAATGAAAATGAATTAAAGTGCACAGCATTAACATGGATAAAACCTTGCAAACAAAATATTGACAGATTCCGGACACAAAAGAGCATACAGCATCATGACTACAGTCCTCTTAGTCCAAATATAGACAAACCTAAATTATATCATTTTGGGATACAAATGACTGCATTACAAGCAGAAGGAAGAAAATGGCAAAAAATAAAGACAAGAGCTACTGGAGAAAGCTACAGTTTGGGAAGAACACACAGCAAAGATAAAACTTCTGGAATACTGGTCATTTTTCTTGATCTGGTCACATGACTGATCATTTTATAATTATTCTTTAAAGTGTGCTCATATATACTGTGCCTCCTTTTCTATGTGCATATTATAATTAAATGAAAACCAGGTGCAGTGGCACGTACCTGTAGTCTCAATTACTTGTGAGACTAAGCTAGAAGGATCATTTGAGCCCAGGAGGTTAAGGCCAGCCTGGGCAACATAACAAGACCCTGTCTCAAAATAAAAAGTTGTTTTGCACCAAAAGATGGCTCAGTGGGTAAGACCACTTGCTGAGCAAGCATAAGGACCTGGTTTAAAATTCTCAGCACCCGGAGCTGGAGAGATGGCTCAAATGGAAAACAGCACTGGCTGTTCTTGCAGAGGACCCAGGTTCTATTCCCAGCACTCACATGGCAGCTAACAACTGTCCATAACTCCAGTTCCAGGGGAATCTGACACCCTCTTTTGACCTCCGTGGGCATTGCACAACACGAGTGCACTTACACACATGCAGCACATGCAGGCAATACATTCATACACGTAAAATATGAGAAATAACAAATAAAAAAGTTCTCAGCACCCAACGTAAAAAGCTAGGTGTGGTTGTACATGTTTATAGCAGTAGTGTTGGGGGGCCTGAGACAGGTGTGTCCCTGGAATTTACTAGCCAGCTTACCTGAAAGAACAAGTTTCAGGTTCAGTGGGAGACCCTGTCTCAAAGGGAATAAGACAGAGAACAACAGAGGAGGACATCTGACATCCTTCTCTGGCCTTTACACATGCATGCAGAGGTACACGCATGCACACACACACACACACACACAGTTGTTTTGGGGCTGGAGGTGTAGCTCAGGGGTAGAACACTGCTTGTCTTTATGCCTGAAGCCCTGGGAGCAATCTCCAGGACCACATCTAAAATACAAAAATTTTAGAAAAGAAAAAAAAAACCCTAAATTTCGGGACTGGAGAGATGGCTCAGCAGTTAAGAGCACTGGCTGCTCTTGCAGAGGACCCAGGTTTGAATCCCAGTACGCACA